TCAATTCTGAGTCAGTGGATCTGGGTTGGGAATGCACATTTCAACAAGGGGCCAAATCAGAAGGAACCATTGGAAGTTCTGAAATGTAGTGCCTTTGTACAGCTTTAGGTACTAAATGCGAAACTGTCGAATGGTTCCCATGCTCTATCTTTAAACCCTGGCGGCATAGGGGTTACACGTTGAACGGCTAACCCAAAGGTCAGCCACTTTAGCCGTTTGAAACCAGCCCCTCCTCCGGAGAAAGATGAGGTTCTTTACGCTGTAAAGACAGACAGTCTTAGAAACTCACGGGTCCAGTCCTACTGTCCTCTAGCGAGGGCCACTGAGTCAGAATTGACTTGATGGCAGGGAGTATGCCTTCAGCCCCTTGGGGGAAGCAACCAATGTGCACTTGGCTACCAAGGGAATTGGTTCTAAGGGACCTAGTGGTACCATGAAAGAAAGGCCTGGCAAACTGCTTCCATAAAAATTACAAACTCCCCCCCCACCCACCCCAGAAAAAAAAAAGAGAACCACAAACAGTTCTACTCTGCAACACAACACACACAAGAGCAGACTCGACCAGAAGACAAGGAGTTGGCTGGTTTGGTTGGCTGGTTAGTTGGTTGGTGGCTTGGCTGGACCATCTCTAGTACTGGACCGGAATCCCCTGCCCTGCAACGTGCTTGAGGAGTAAATGTGTGAGTTACTTCAAGCCACCAGGGGGCTTCCTGAGTCCCAGAAGAAATGCTGCAGGATGCCATCAATTGTAATGGCTGCAGTGAAACCAGATTTGGAGAGAGCAATATCCATCTGGGATGTGAAAAAGTGGAGGGTATCTTCCCTCCGGCCCGCCCCTTCCTGCCAAGCGGCTTTACAATGGCTACCTCAGGCTCCTCCTTGAAGGAAGGGGTCGGAGGGTCCACAGAGCCACCAGTAATCAACCTCGATGTACAGCACAATCTTACAATATCGTCAGATTGTGTGCCTTTCTGGGCACACAAGTGCGGTCTTTTAAAATAATATAGAGA